TTCTCGTCCTGGCTCAAGGCTCTCATTCTGTCCTGGGCTCTGTGCCCTGTCCCCCGTCTCCATCAGTCTCACTTAGTTTGGAGTCCTCTTAGAAGCAGGGATCTAACTCACAGGCAGGGACCTGCTGCTGCTCTGGAATCATGAGGGAAAGAGGCGTTACACTTAATAAAGCATTAAGTAGATGAGGTTTGACTCAAAACTCCTCTGTGCAGATGGAGATATTCCTAAAACTGATTTCTAAAGCTTTCTTGCTGCACCAAGTGCATGGAACGTAGTGGGAAGTTCACTCCACAGCTCAGCGCCACAGGGACCACAGTGCAGCCCCAGGGGCTCTCAGAGACCACCCTGTGCAACCCCTCCTTTTACAGACTGGGAGGTGGCTCAGAGACAGGGGATGTGGCTGTCCATGTGCTGCACGGCCAGCTCAGGGCTGAGATGGGCCAGCAGCCCCAGATCCTGCCCATGTATGGAGCATGCAGTATGTGTCACTCACTGTGCTAAATGTATTGCTTGGTTATCTCATTTAACCCCCTCAGCCAGCTCAGGCAGGGCTGTGATCAGTGTGTCTTGATGTTTTTATTAACAATTGACTTTTACTCCACGTGGGGTGGGGTGGGGGCCTGACGTTGGTAGTACTCCCAGGAAAGTGTAGTTAGCTTATGCTTTTGCCATTCTGTCGTCTTTTTTGCTTATTTTTGATGCAAAACTTGGGTGGCAAGATGGCTTCAAGTTCAGCCTCCAGGGAAGCAGAGCTCCCTTAACACCAGGTGCTGAGCCAAAAGGCTTCTCTCAGAGGGGTTCCAAGTGCCAGTCATCGTCCTCGTGGCACGCGGGGGATGTGTTGAGTGCTTGCCATTAATGGGAAACAACAGCAACGGAAGACTCCCTGTCTCTGCCTGGGCACCTTGCGCTCATGTCCACCTTCCTCTGCACAATCAGCCAGAGGGGTACAGGGCTTGGGAGAATGGCCCCAGCACCAGACAGACCTGACTTGTCTACTGACCTACTTTGTGACCAACCTATTTAGCTGAGCCTCAGGGACCTCTTGAGTGAGAATAACGCATCTTGCAGAGACTGCCATTATCCTGGCCACCAGAGAGCATTAGGTCTTCCCTGTTCCGAGCACATGCATTGCCTCTCCGTGCCCTTTGATGTGACTGGTTCCAGCCCGCGAGGTGTGAGCGAAAGTGATGTGGTGACTTCCAGTCCCGATGCTGCATTGCCAGCATGACACCCCAGACTGTTCTGTCCCCCTGCCTCAGCAAGTGGGAGTGCTCCAGGGAGTGGTTACTCCATCGTGGCTGTTCCAGTGTCCTGGAGTAAGTGTAGTAAGAAGCAGGGTCCTCAGGCAACAGTGGGCGTGGAGTGTGAGTGAGAAGTGAAACGCGGTGTTTTAAGCCACTGAGATTTTTGGGCTGTTTGTTGCCACCAGGAAGCCTGGCTCATCCTGGCCAACACCCTCCCACGTGGGGTTTTGAGGAAGATTAAAGGAGCGAATACCTGGAAAACACTGAGCACATTCTCGACACAGAGCAGTGTTTCTATTTTCCTCCATCTCTATGTCACATGGGCATCTCGATCAGCATATCCCAAACTGCGCTCAGGTGCCCACCCACCAACACCAGACCCCCACTGCCTCCTGCTGCCCACGTGGTGGGACTGCACCGCCCGCCAGTCTCTCGCACAAGCTGCCGCCCGAGAACCATCGTTTGGACCACTCCCAGTCTCTCCCGCATCCAATAAATCGGCACACCCTTCTGTTCAGAGTGTGGAAAGAAAAAGACCACCGAGAACACTATACCTGGAAAAACTATATCTTTTAAAACTTAAGGAAAGATACTTTCCCAGACAAACAAAAGCTGAGGAAGCTCGTCCCCACTATCCCTACCTTTGGAGGAGTGCTAAAGGGAGTTCTTCAAACTGAAACAAAAGGATGCTAAATAGCAACATGATAGCTTATGAAAATATATATCTCACTGGTAAAGATAAACATATAGGCACATACAGATAATAATATACAATATAATATAATAATATACAATAATATAATACTGTATACAATAATATAATATACAAAAATATAATACAATAATATAATATAATAATATACAATAATATAATACTGAAATGGTGGCATATAAATCACTTTTAACCCTAGTATAAAAGTTAAAAGACAAAAGCATGAAGAATAACTATAACCACAAAAATTAGTTAATGGATAAGTAATATAAAAATAAATAAATTCTGACACCAATAACATAAAGCGTTGGGGAGGCTGTAAAAGTGTAAAGTTTTGCATATGATTGAAGTGAAGTTATCAGCTCAAAATAGACTGTTATAAGAAGTTTAAGTTATAAGAGATCAATAACTCCTAGAGATCTATGGTACAGCATAGTTAAAAATATTATATGGTATAATTAACAATTTGCTCAGAGGCTAGATCTTACGTTAAGTGTTCATATCACATAATAATAATAGTAAATAAATAAAGAGGGTGGGAGGAGACTTTTGGAGGTGATGGATAGGTTTATGGCGTATATCATGGTGATTGTTTCACTGGTGTGTATAGTTGTCTTTAAGCTCATCAGGTTGCATATGTTAAACATGTATAGCTTTTTGTATGACACTTAAGCCTTAATAAACTGGGTTAAAAATACAAAAAGACACACAAAAAACCAAACAGACAAAATGAAACAAAATCTTGGTACTTGGGGACCAAGAGGGAGGATCTGAGGCTGCATAGACAATGATCTCAGTTTCAAGCCTGGGAAGAGGACAAACACCAAGGTGCCTCTAAAAGATTTTCAACAAAAAGGAGACCACCTGGCTTCCTTAGGAAATGTTGGAAGCCACCTGGTCTGACCCTTGCCCGCACTGTTGAGGACACTGGGGGCCAGAGATGGTAGGTGGTTTGTGGTGGGCTGCACAGCCAGCAGGGCCGGGAAGGGCATTTGGGGCGCTCACCTTGGCATCTGTCTCCCTGTATGGCTGATTTTTGTGTTGTTGTTGCAGAGACAAGTTTAACCCACAAGAGAGAATGGAGGCAGCCTCGACTACTTTTCTATCATATCCCAAATCCAATCTGTCCAGAAATCCTATAAGCTTTTTGCTCAAATTCTGTCCACAGCTGAGCACCTCTCAACCCTCCGGGACTTCTCCTACTCTGCTCCCTGGCAGGACCTTGGCCACCTCCCAGGGTTGCTGCAAGACCCTCCTGAGCCTTCTCGCTCCCTTCGCCATCGCCTCGCCTACAGTCTGTCTTCTAGGCAGCCATCAGAGTGAGCAAGAAAACATGGAAGGTCATGTCAGGCCTCTGCCCAAAACCGTCCACAGGTCACACTGCACTCTGCCCAGGGGCAGAGCTTGTCACCATGCGTGCTGGCCTCCATGGTCTATGTGGAGGCCATGCCTCCCTGCTTCTCCCTGAACGCGCTCACACTCTGAATCCTGCCTCACTCTCGCTGTGTAGACCACACCGGCCTCCTCGCTCCCGGTGGGAACACACAGGCCTGTTCCCACCCTGGGCCTTTGCCCAAATGTCGTCTGCTCATGAAGCCTGCTCCAAACTCCTTAGCAAAATTGTACCCACTCTTTCTCCCAGCTCTCCTGATTCCCCTTATCCTATTTCTTTCTGATTTTCTAGCACTTTTTACCGTCAAATATATGAATTATTAAGTTTACCATTCATCTCTCCCATTGGAATGTAAACCCATGAAAGTAGGCATCTTTGTCTGTTTTCTTCACTGGGATATTCCAAGATCATAGAAAGATGCCTGACATGTAGTAGGTGCTCAGTAAATACTAGCTAACTGAAAGAAAGGGAAAAAAATGGAGACTAGCATGAGACAATCCCCTGCACCCCAGAATATCGTTTTGAATTCCAGTTTCCATTTTGCTTCGCTGGTTTAGCGTGCTCACCATGCGGGAGCCTCTAGCCTTGGACTCAACTCTTTCCCCGCAGTTAGAGTTAGTGCAGAGTTGTGTTTCCGTGGCCAGCAAGCAGCGGCACAGCCACGTAGCCACAGGGACAGAGGGCTGGACTAAGTGGCTTCCTTACAGTATCCGATTTGTAAGGCGTCTCCCTGGGCCTCCTCTGCTGTCTTGGTCACCCCTGGAGCTCTGTCCTGCAGGTGCGGAAGCAGGGCCCGCATCTCACACGGGAGCTCCCGTGGGCTGGGCTGTATCCTGCTCCCTCCGGACCCATCCCTACACGCTGCTCACAGAATGTGATTCCGTCCCGTGTCTTCCTCCTGTGAGGAATGTGTGTATGCGTGTGTGTATGCGTGTGTGTGTGTGTGTGTGTGTATGTGTGCATGTGTGTGTGAGAGAGAGAGACACGCGCAACAGGAACACCCCTCCCATCTCTCCTGTTGTGTTTGGCTCTTTTCTTATGCCCCTTCCCCTAGCCTTTTCTCTGAGAGGGATTTCTGGAAGATTGTTATTCCTTTCTTTAAAATTTTTTTTATTTCAGCATATTACAGGGGTACAAATGTTTAGGTTACATATATTGCCTTTGCCTCACTCTGTCCACTATGGACAGGGTGGAGTTGAGGGCAGGCACAGGGCAGGTTTGTGCTCGGCCTGGAAGGATGGGCCGGTGGGACCTTCGTGGGACATAGGACCTTTGGAGTGTCAGGAATGTGTGGGCTCATGCCTCGACTTACCCAGATGAGATAATGATCCCTCGTCCACTCACAGTGTTGGAGGGGACTTAAGGGCTTGACAGATGTGGGGTTGGGAGGCAGGGGCAGGTGCACCGTGATGCAGGGCAACGCACCTATTAAAGAGACAGGTCTCAGCTCTCCTCTCAGTCTGCCTCGTGGGAGATTCCCATGCTCATAAATGGCATTAATAACTTTCTCCTGCCTTTTATGTTGTTGGCAGGTCTGTGCTCTGCCCAATAAAAGGCAGGAGCAATAACAGGTCTCTTTTTCCTGCGTGACACTGTGTCCCCCTTCCACCTGCCCCACGTTCCCAGGACCATCCTGCAGAGCAAGGGCATGGCGAGCCGTTCCTACCACTTCAGCTCCAGCTGTGGGATCAGGAACTTCAGCTCCTGCTCTTCCGTCATGCCCCAGCCTGGGGCTCGCAGCTGCAGCAGTGCCATGGCCCATCGTGGGGGCAGTCCTGGGGGGCCGGGCTACAGGCGCCTCGGAGGCTTTGGCAGCCAGAGCCTGTGTGCAGTGGGGTCCCCAACATCGCGGTGAGTTGTGCATGGCCCCTACACAGTGGGGGCAGCTTTGGCTACTGGGCAGGGGGCCTTTGTAGGCCCAGCCCCCCCATGATAGTCAATGAGAGCCTCCTCATGTCCCTTGACCTAGAGATTGACCCCAATGCACAGTGCGTCAAGAACGAGGAGAAGGAGCAGATCCAGTGCCTCAACAGCAGGTTCACTGCCTTCATCGACAAGGTGGGTCTGTGTGCTGATACCCTGGGGCTGTGGCATAGGAAGGGGCAAGAGACTTGGAACTTGATGATGGGTTGGGTTCAGCTTCTCCTGCTACTGACTAGCACATGGCCTTGAGAACGTGGCTGAATCAGAGTCTCAGTTTTCAAATGTTGCCGTGAGGGTCAACTGCTATGATGGGTGTGAACCACCAGGCAGGAGCTGAGGCTCACACTGCCCAGCTAAGCGCCTCTGTGGCCCACCTTCTGGACTGCAGCCATCACACAGCAGGACGGTGCAGGTGGGGTGGGCAGCTCTGTCTGGGCCGGTGTCTGACCTGCTTAGAAGAGAGGCTGCCATCCTGGATGGAGGGAGAGCCAGGACGAACAGGGCCAGAAGCTCCTTTCCTGCTCCTTCTTGGTGGGGACATCACAGGAAGGCTATGAATCCTCAGGACTCCTGCCCAAGGCACCTTCTACCCCCCAACACACATACAGATTAAAGGCAGTGAGTTGAGAAACTTAGGGGATGGTCCATGGAATTGCATATTTTGGATGTTGCAGTTTCTGAGTCCTCCTGGTTAAGTGTGTAGCTCTGGTTTCCTTGACCTAATAATGCCCCTCTGAGAGCTCACTGGGGGAGGACAGCAACCAAAGCCCAAGGGGAGAAAGGCTCATCCTCCAGGGCTGAATGGTGCACGCGTCTATACCCAGGGACTATGTAAGAGGGCACACACCAGGGTGATGGTCTCAGACCAACACCACCATCAGAAATGGGCTTATCTGTACACAAAGGTGCTAGACATCCACGCTTAACACGCTGCCAGCTGTCCAAACCACTGTCCCCTTCCACTGACACAAAGAAGCTACTGTAGAGTTATGCAGGTTGTTCATTGCACAAGGACATCCACCGAGAGTGGAGTAGGTTAAAATCCAGCCCATGCTTTGCTTACTGGGCTGTGTGCCCTGGCAGGGGCTGCATCTGCCTGGAGAGGGCATCCTTTTCTAATTTGCTCCAAAGCACAATGAGGGTCACGAGCGTGCAGATTCAAAGGGATCTTTGCACATGGCCTTTTGGGTATCACCAAGAATGCTGCTCTCTCTGTTGGGAGGCATCAGTGCTGGGTCTGGTGAGAGAGACTCACACCAGGCTGGCTTTGCCCTCCCCTGGGGTTGCTGACGGCCACCCACTTCCCTCCAGCATCCTTCCTGCAGGCTCCAGACTGCACTGAGCTCCGGGCTGCAGCCTGCATTGGTGTCGTGGCTTTAGTCCTGCAAAGCAGCAAGCCAGACCTGGGTCCATGTGCTGCTTTTTGGACAATCAGGCTTTTGGTGCCTTTTCCGCAAGCACGGGCAGTTGAGCGTTCTTTATACCAAGAAATACTCCCTGGAGGTTAGGGCTTGAGAGGACACCACCTACTTTGGGGCTGGTAACTGGAAATTGATGGCAGCATGGCAGGTTGTGAGAATGAAGCCAAATCGGAGGCATGCACACCTAGAAGGTGCATGCCATCACACAGCAGGGGGGTGTGGGTAGGTTGGGCAGCTCTGTTTAGGCTGGTGTCTCCCCACCCTTAGAGGAGATGCTGCCGCCCAGCATGGAGGGGGAAGCCAGGAAAAAAAAGGGGCTGGCATTGCCAGAGCTTCTGGCTTATCAAGATGGTCAGAGAGATCCAGCTTCTTGCCTGAAATCACTCAATTATTAAATGCTGGCAACTAACCAGATCTCTATAAAGCAGTGTGCAGGCCAAATAAAACATACCTGTGGCCTAATAGGGCCTGGGGGCTGCCAGTGTACCATTGCTATGTGCCCCTCCTGCCTCAGTTTATAGTGAGGCACAGAGAGAATGAGGCAAAGTGGCCTGGTTGGCAGCAGAGTTAGGAAACGAGTTCTAATTCCTGCTCTGACGTCCCCGTTTTGGGCTCTAGTACCCCCAGATCAGAGTGAGGGAGAGTCATTTTGGGTTCATTTTTAAACTGCTGCCATACAAATGCAGCAGCTTAAAACTACACAAATTTATTATCTCATGAGGCTGATATCAAGGGCTGCATTTCTTTCTGGAGGTCCTAGGGGACCATCTGTTTCCAGGGACAGGAAGGCTTTGGCAGAATTGAGTTCCTTGTGGGCACAGGACTGAGGTCCCCGTTCCCTTGCTGGCTGGCTGCCTGGGGTTTTACACAGCTTCTAAAGGTCGTCCACATGCCTTGGCTTTGGGCTGCCTCTTCCTCCATCTTCAAAGCCAATAATAGTGGGCCAAGTCCTTCTCATGTTTCAAATCTCTCTTCTGCCTCCTTCTTTTGAGCACCTCTCTAACTCTTCTGCCTACATCTTCCCCTTTGAAGGGCTCATGGGTCTACCTTGAGCCCACCTGGATAATCCAGGATAATCTCCCAATCTTCAGGTCCATAACCTTAATTCCATCTGCAATATGGAATAAGTTCCAGGGCCTGGGGCATGGACATGTTTGGCGATGTGTGTGTGTGTGTGTGTGTGTGTGTGTGTGTCATTATTTGCCCTACCACATATAGTCTGAAATATTTCTGCAGGATCAAATGTTATTTCATTCCATACAGAAAACAAGTGGTTGCAAATTGTGTGTTCCTTCTGGGAGGTGGGGAATATTTGTGACCTGCGCTTTCAGACTTTGTCAATGATTTGGCTTCTTGGGGAAGATGAGAGGCTGCTGCAGGGAAGGGGCCACCCCCAAGGGCATTGGGAGCTCTGGGGGACCAGGCACACTCCTAGCAGCCTTCCCCCAAGTCTCGTTTCTCCTTCCTGAATGGCAGGTGAGCTTCCTGGAGCAGCAGAACAAGCTGCTGGAGACCAAGTGGCAGTTCTACCAGAACCGCGAGTGCTGCGAGAGCAACCTGGAGCCCCTGTTCAGCGGCTACATCGAGACGCTGGGTTGGGAGGCCGAGTGCGTGGAGGCCGAGTGCGTGGAGGCCGACAGCGGGAGGCTGGCCTCGGAGCTCAACCGCATACAGGAGGCACTGGAGGGCTACAAGAAGAGGTGAGCATGACAGGGCTGGGATGGCTCTAAGGAGGAGTAGGTCTTAGCTGAGGCCACGCAATTCCCCCAGAGGCAAAGACAGCCAAAGGCCAAGGTCATCTCAACCCGCTACCAGATGGTTCTGCTTTATCCAATTGCTCCATCTGGTCTCAGCTCCCACCTCTTGCAGCCCCATCCTGGTACTGCAGAAAGATCTGGAGAGCAGAAAAGCTCCAAGTCTGGGAGGGATGGGACACACATCCTGGGCTGACACAGAGATGAAGAGAGAGGAACAAATGAAACAGGAGGACCAAGACCAACGGGGCTGGAGAGCAGGACCAGGGAGCAGTCGGCTCTTGGACAGATGGAAAGGGAAAGGCCCTGGACGGGTATCTTGAAAATGATCGGGCTGATGCCATTGAAAGTATCTGACGAACTTGGATTATTACTTATTTACTCTGCAGATAAACCATCAGGCTCATGTTCTGCAGGGCTCCACAGTTCAAATGTCCATGTCAATCTTTTGTTTTAGCCTGAGTTGTTTAGTTTGGCCATTACCTAGTCTAAACTCATAGGGTCACTGTTAACTTGCCCCTCTTTACTTTGTAGATATGGACAGGGTGAAGGGTGATTTTTGACATTAATCGGTCCTGGTAATTCTAACCCATCTTGGGATTCTTGGGACATCCAGTTTTCCCATCCAGATGGACCTGGCAGTGGGTCCTCACTTCCCCGGGGGTGAAGCAAAAGCAGACACAGTTTTGGTGTGCAGGGATAGTGCCCACTCTAGGGGGTATGAGGGTGATAATGATAGAGCTGAGGTTTATTGCAGTCCAAATTACCCTGTAATTAACAAGTTGTAAAAACCATGCTCTGGGAACTCCGGTCTCCTTTGTTGGGGCAGGACTGCTCCAGGGACAAGGTCTCACTGGCAAGAGGGATGGGGCCAGGCTGGTAAAGGAGGGTTGGGGAAATGCCCCTGAACAGTGGGTTGCTCCCAGGAATTCAAGTCCTTGGATATTGGGGCAGAATAGAACTTCACAGGGAATGACTTCATAGAGCTTTATATGTTGTACAATTCTGTAATTGAAAGGCTTCCTTGGAACATTTCTCTGCCTTTTACTCATCCCACAAATACTGACCGAATGCCCCACTGCACACTAGATGATTTAACCTAAGATGCAGAGAGAGTAAATGATTCGCCTCACGTTTTACAGTGACTTCAGTTCAAGTCCAGTGTCCTTTTAATGTGTTCTTTGGCTGGGAAATGGAAGCTTGGAGAGACCAAGCCTCTTCTCCAAAGGCACACAGAAAGTGAGGGGAACACCAGGGAGTTTTGCAGCCCTGGGCTCTGGCTGTCATCCCAGGGCCATCGGTGGTGGGGCCTTTCTACCTGAGTTGTCTCTCCTCAGGTATGAAGAAGAGCTGGCCCTCAGGGCCACGGCGGAGAATGGCTTCGTTATGCTAAAGAAGGTAAGTGACGCTTCCCATATGGGGAAGGAGTTAAATTTTGGACCAGATGCTGGTCCAAATGACCAGCTGGGTGATGCCATGACTGGGTGTCCTGTCGTGTTCCCATCAGTCCAGCTGGTGGTGGCAAGGCACTCGAGACCCCTTGCAGGTGAAAGTGGGTGGTTTGGCTACAAGGCCATCTTGGCCTCCACGCAGGAGCCCAGACTGTGCTGATATAGCTTTGTAAAAAGAAAACCTCATGCTGCTGCTTGGCGTTTTGTAAACTACCTGGTTGGCTGAAACATTCACTTTTAGATTTGTTTTACTCTCATCTGGACAATGCCTCCTCCCATCATGCCAGATGGGGGTTGGTTCTTAGCTTGCTAATGATTTATGAGTGTGGCCATCATTCAGTGCAATTGGAGATGAGGAAAAAGAAAACAAGAACAGAGGAAATAAAACTGCTAATGATTTCCCTTAGGTTTCAAATTGGTGGGTGCAAGTGCATGAGAATGTTCTTTAACAAACAATATGCTTCCCAGCCACCGTATTTGTGAGTAACCACAGCCTGCAGAGAGGGTTGGCAACAGATCCGCCCACAGAAGCTGACTTTGGTCTCAGGCAGGAGATCAGCTATCTGGGTGTTGGGTGCCACCTGACCTGGGCTTTGAGGACGACCTGTGGGGAGGCTCTGTTGACCGCCACCTGTTCATGCTCTGTGGACCATTCGGCTGGCATGCAGCAGCCTGCTGTTCTGGGCTGTGCCTTCTTTAGCAAGGTCCTTGGTTCTGGAGGGGTCAGAATTCTCTCGATGTCCTGTCTCCAGGGGTGTCTCATGACATTTATGCAATGGGAGGTAATATCAGTGGCAGATAGCAAAGGCCTTGTCCCTTCCTGGGGGGCTGTGAAGGTGAAGAGGTGGGCAAGGGTTGGCCGAGGCAGCAAGGTGGGCCAGGAGATGGCCTCAGGGCCCACTGTGGAGTGCCAAGTCTCAGGGGCATGGAGGCAGGGACAGAGACCACTCCCCGTCATCTCCCGTCTGTCTGCACCAGGACACAGACTGCGCCTGTCTGCGCAAGGCAGACCTGGAGGCCGACGTGGAGGCACTGAGGGAGGAGACTGTCTTCCTACAGTCGGTTTCTCTACCTGGAGGTAACTCTCTCCCCATCTCCACAGGGGCAAGGGAGGGAAGTAGGTGGAGGAGGGTTTTCTCTGGGCGTGGCCCCTCTTGGTTCCTGGAATCCAGGGAGAGCGATGCATTCCTTATTCTCCTAGGGCCTGGACATCTTCTCTTCTGTGACCAGAGGGGATTTTTCTCTTGTGCAGGCCTCCTTTCAATGGAAGTGGGTGATGCCCTTCTTTTAAGATTATTTGAAAGAATGTGATTAATTGCCCATCTACACAGCACAACATGAAGTGGAGATTTGACAACTAATTTATTAATTCAGGTAGTGTAAAAACCCAAGTGGATAATCCAGGACTCTAACTGTGACCATTATCTGGTTGATTCGATTATGAAGATCTATCCACTGATCTAGACAGTTCAGGGCCTGGAGTGGAGAGGGGTGGTTTGTCTGCATACATCTGTCTCCCTGGACCCAGGCATTAGTGGACTCCCACCTTACTCATTGCCTGGAGGCTACAGGCCTAATCCCACCCTTTTCCTCTTAAAGCTACAATTTTAAAATTTTGCCGACTTGCTGGTAGTTTTCTAATTTTTTTCCTGAGGTTTCATGGTTGGGACTGTTTTTTGAATTACCTAGGGAGAGGGATTAGAGCAGGATTGGGAGCTGAGGGCACTGATTATTGTCCCCTGCAGGAAATTCGCCTGCTGGGATCACAAATCTCTGATACCTTGGTGGTGGTGAAGATGGACAACAGTTGGGAGCTCAACATGGACTTGGTTGTGGCCGAGATCAAGGCTCAGTATGATGGTATTGCCAGCCGCAGCCGGGCCGAAGCTGAAACCTGGTACCAAGCCAAGGTAAACTGGAGGGCGAAGAGAATAGCTGTGAGCTGGGACTTCCCCGAAAATGTGCACCCGCAGTCCAGAGGGGCCCAGCCAAGGGCCCGGACAGAACAGGGCGAGGAAGGGGTAGGCATGCATGTGGGGAAAACACTGCACAGCAGGGGCCAGCTGATCCAGGCTGCTGTGACGTCCCACTACACCCTCCCGCCACCGTTTCTGCATGCTTGCCTCTCAGCCCGCAGTGTTAGGAGCTGAAGGCCACGGTGACCCGGCAGGGCGAGCACCTCTGCAGAACCAAGGAGGAGATCCGTGAGCTGAACCACACATGATCCAGAGGCTGATGGCTAAGGTGGAGAACGCCAAGCAGCAGGTTGGGGAGCGCTGAGACCCCACTCGGTGTACCTGCTGCTTCTGATCTCATTTCTGCTTTCCACCTGTCTTCAGGGGCGGCTACAATCTTCGGAGAGGTGTGTATTTGAACTGTGCCAGAGTATACTCCCTTCGTCAGCACACGGGGCTCCTGTTCCAGCACTCGCTATTAGCAGACTTCTGAATTCGTGTGGATCTGATAGGTGTAAAATGGCATCTAATTGTTATTTTAATTTTCATTTCTCTGGTTAACTAGTTATATCAAATATCTTCTCATACAGTTACTTGTCATTTGCATCCCCCCTTCTAAGCATGGTCTGTTCATACCATGTGCCCATTTTAAAATTGTGATTCCTGTCTTTTTTCTTGGTGATTTGCAGCATTTCCTTGTCCATAGCACCTAGATTGCAAGCCTTCGTCAATTACACATGTGGCAATTAACCTTCTCTCCATCTGTCACTTGTGTGTTTGCTTTGCCTTGTGTCCTTTATTGGGCAGAAATCTTTAACCTATACTTGTCCAAGTCCATTAGATCGTTCCTTAATGGTTTATGTTTAGGAAGTTCTGAGGCAATAGAGGTATCCTCTTACATTTTTGTCCTCTACTTGTTTTATAGTTTTATCTCTCATATTTAGGTCTTTAATCCATCTGAAGTCTATTTTTTGTATATACAGTAAGTTGGGTTCTATTTTAATTTTTCTACATATAGTAGAAAAAATCCACTGATTTGTGATTCTGCCTCTTTTGTAATACTGAGTTCCCACACATACCTGGCTCAATTTCTGTCCTCTCTTCTCATCCACTATGCAGGATCACTATCACAAGTAATTTGTTACTGTTAATAGTTGAGGTCATGAAATATGGGAATGGTTTACTTTTTAGAAGTGAAATATTAGCCGGGCATGGTGGCTGTACCTGTAGTCCCATTTGCTCAGGAGACTGAGACAAGAGGATCCTTTGAGCCCAGGAATTTGAGGTTATGATCATACCACTGTACTCAAGCCTGGTGACAGAGCAAGACCTTGTCTCAATTAAAAAAAAAAAAAGAGTAAAATTAGAGAAGTTGTCCCCATAACAATTCTGCTCTTGCTCATTTGCTTTCTGACATGCTTTCTTAAGTGGGCAAAAGGGAAGGGCTGTAACTGATGTGTTAGGAGTTGTTGCAAATGGGAACTTCTTTCAGGGCCAAAGAATGAGGTTCTGTACAGTAGCCTCTGAAAACCTGGGCTTGGCACTAAGTCATCGGGTAGCCTAGGGCAAAGCACAGCCTCTCTGAATCTCAGTTTCTTCATCTGCACAGTGGGAACAATAATGCCTGTTCTGACAAGCTCGCAAAACAACTTTGAAGGTGAAATTAGATAACATCTGCGAAAGTGCCTTGTAAACTAAGGGTATACATATATATGGTAATGTCACTAATTATTATCAGTCCTATTCCAGTGCTAACATTTCCTCCCTTAAGTGAGTTTTACAAGAAGGTGGTACAAAAATGAAGGAAAAAAGCTCGAAGTGAGCTATTATTTCCCTGCCTAGTTCATTTTCCATTGATGTATTTCTTTTAAATAGTATAAAGTTCAAAAGTTGACCGTTTTGAATAAAGGCGAAATAGGATGACTAAAGCCATTGGGAACTGCCCAGAGTCCTCGCAGCCTGTACCCTTTTCAAACTCCTTCCCCGGAGTGCTGTAGGCTGGAGGCTGCCGTGACCCAGTCTGAGCAGCAGGGCGAGGCTGCCCTGAGCGACGCGCGCTGCAAGCTGGCCGAGCTGGAGGCCGCCCTGCAGAAGGCCAAGCAGGACATGGCCTGCCTGCTCAAGGAGTACCAGGAGGTGATGAACTCCAAGCTGGGCCTGGATGTGGAGATTGCCATTTACTGCAAGCACTGGAGGGCAAGGAGAGCCAGCGAGGACGGGTAACCCAGGTTCCTTCACATCCCCACTCAGGGTAGTCTAGAATCTTCCAGGTAGAGAACTGGGAAAAACTCTAGAGATCATGGAATCCAACCATGTCCCCATTTTACAGACAAGGAAACAGATCCAGAGAGGAAGGGGCGTGCACAGGAGCACAGCCAGTTAGTGGCTAAGCTGAAGTGACACCCACCTCCTGCCTGGCCACCGGGGCTCTTCTCCCTCCTGCATTGTCCCTCCGGCTGGAACCTACAGCTCATTCTCAGGCAACTGCTTTACTCTGTGGCCAGCCTCAGGGGGTTCTTAAAACTGGAATCATTCAGAAAATTAGTTAGAGGCCATTTGATTTGGGATGCACAAAGGGTCCTGTCAACCTAGATAGGCTGGTGATCAGGACCAGGGGCTAGAAATGAGCAGCGCAGGTTCTTGCCTTGCAGCAGAGGACAGGGGCAGACATAATCACTCCTCCAGGGGGCTGGGGCTAGTGGCCCAGGGAAGCTGTTGGGAGGCTTCTCAGAGGAGGAAGCAGAAGAGCTAAGGGCGTGGGAAAGGGATAGGACACTTCAGCTGTGCTCACAGTCTGAGCCAGGAATGAGGGGCAGTGAAGACAGCCTGGGAGGAGCCATGTGGATTCACACAGCACTGATGTTCCTCCTGGCTCCCACCGGAGGGGCAGGCTAGGCAGGGTAGTACAGCACAGCGATGAAGAGCAGAGGCCACGGGCTAGTCACCTAGGTTCGAATCCCAGCTCTGCCACTTATTAGCTATGTGACCTCATACCTCAGGGTCCTCAGCTATAAAACTGAGATAATCATAAAACCCAGCTCTTGAAACTGTTGCACGGTTAAATGAGTTTTAATGGGACATAGCACACACCACTAGAAGCAGGGTATTATCATAATGAGAAAATCTCTAGCCAACGTGGCCAGGCAGGACTATACTCACGGAGAGGCCTGTCATTACTGTGGTTGGCTTTAGAAATCCACCACAAAGTGGCACCCTGGGCAGCCAGGCCATGCAGCCGGATCTGCCTCATGCTGGACCGAAGCAAGTGAACCTTTCTGTCCGTTTCCTCAGGGCTACAGGTGAAGACACCGGAGCTCTTGCTTCCTTAAGTTCCCAACGCAGTCACTAGCATTCAGTAATACACTTGGCATTTGCACTGTGACACTTATTTTCATATGGTAATACTCATTAGTTAATACCTCAATCGTATAATTATTGGCGTACTGTCCCCAATACATGATGTTAAAGGACAGTTTAGTGAATTGTATATTGTAGCCATTGACCTTTTCATAGACAGCCTCCCCTTGGCATTTAACAGGTTTAGTTTAATTACACAAGTAATGCTCATTGCAGCAAATGCAGAGAATAGGAAAACAAAAGCAGCCACAGTCACTCAACTCAGAGAGAGTCGCTGCCAGCATTATGAATCAACAGGCACCATCATGAGCATTGGCAGGAATCTTCTGGAAGGGCGAAGTCCTAAGGCTGTGGCAAAGGCAGAGTGAAGTGGCAGGAAAGCGAGCCAGATGCACACACCCCTGTCCAAAAGATGAGGAGTAAAGAAGTATTTTGAGCTGGGCAGAATGAATCGTAGTGGAGCTTTCCTGGGAAGACAGGCTTGAAGCTGGGAGTTTAAAAAGGGAAGATGTAGCACAGAAAGTGCAGGTAGGCATGAGAAAGGTGGGAGCATTTATGAAAACCAACTCTAGTGGTATAAATAGCTCACCATCAATGAGATGTTTATAATGTTGATAGCAAACACTTACATTGGATTTACTTACTATGTGCTGGTCTCTATTTTAGACACTTCACATGTAGAACTCAGCTGTACCCTACAGCAATCCTATTAGGTGGGTATTATCATCTCCATTTTATGCTGGGAAAATTGAAGCACAGAAAGTTTAAGTGACTTGCCCGAAGTTACCCAGCTAGTAAGTGGCGCAGCCAGATTTGAGTCTAGGCAGCGTGGCCTGAGAGCCCAGTTTCTTAACCACCATCCTCCCCAGCCTCCCTTTGCATTTAATGAAATCAGCTGGATGTCTGGGATAGAAATTAAAATCATAGGTTAAAAATGTGTTAGTTTGTGCTTACGCCAAGGAGTTCAAGGCTGCAGTGTGCTATGATCATGTCTGTGAATATGCGCTGCACTCCAGCCTGGGCAGCATTGTGAGCCCCCCTTATCTCTCAAAAAAAATGAGTCAGTTCGAGCGATAAGCAAACTTTTCCTGCTCAGAGGTGTCCATCTAGCTAGGCAGTAGTGGTTCCCATCACCTCTTTGGCTTTGCTGGAATTTCCAGCAGAAGAACAAGGAAGATGCCCCTCATTTCTACTTCTCAGTCCACCAAATTTCCAGCTGAGTTTATACTAGCGGTTGTCTGGAATTTCACTGTATTTTCATGTTTCCTGTATGGCCCCTTTCTTTTGGTGTGCTTGATTAAACGATGGCCAAAGGCTGTTTCTTAGTAACCAAATTAATGCTGCCTCCTTCATTGCTTTCCCCACCTACCCACAGCCTTGTTTTGTGCTTCTCAAGATGCAGTCCAGGGACCGCCACCTGCGTCAGGGTCCCCTGGTAGTTGGTAAATGCGCAGATCCTGGGTTCCATCCAGAACCACTGGATCAAAAGCTCTAGGGATGAGCCCAGGAATCTAGTTTAACAAGCTCCCAGGTGATTCCTGTAAGAACTAAAATTACAGAACCACGGGTTTGCGTGAGCAGAGGCGAGAGGAGGCCAGGCAATTCTGGCTGGGGTGGTGACTTTCCCTGAGCTTCTCGCAGGATCAGATTAGCCCCTTTGCGCTTCTCCTTTGTCTTTGCTGAAAGGTCAGAGCCCCACTCTGGGCTGCACACATCAGGAGCGACTGGGTTAAGGTACTGACGGAGAGAAGGCAGCCTGTATTTATTAAGTGCCTGCTAACTGCCTGGGGTACATCGCACATGTATTTCATTCATTTCTAATAGCAACAGTATTATCTTCATTTTACAGATAAAGAAATTAAGGCTGAAAGAAGTAACTTTACTAAGGTCACACAGCTAGCCCACGATTCAAACTCAGGTCTAGGGAATGCCAGACCTGAGTTTGGCATTCCCACCTGATGGGCATTCCCATCTCCCATTCATGCCCTTTTCCCACCGCATTTCCCTAACCGCCCCTTGGGCTAGGCATGCTGGCTGCCAGAATGCTCCTGGAGCTCGGCCTGCTGCAGCTTTACAGTTGTCTGACACTTCCGAGGTGGAAGGTGACTTGACCTTCTGGAAACATTTGTAGAAACATCTCTCCATAGAGTCTGCTCCCCAAGAACTCGGACAGATCTCTTTATGGGGCGGTTAAAAGAGGCCTCTTGTGTGGAACCCAGAATTAAAACTCAGACCTCTGGCTGGAGGGCGTTTGCGGGGGCGCCTGGACAGAGGCAGTGGATCCGTGCACTCTGTGTCTGGCCCGTTCCCGCACTGACAGCACAGGGAAGGCCTCCCCAGGGAAGCCTGCTCAAAGCCCCTCTGATGTGGGCTGTCCGGCCCTGGATATGATGAACGGGGACAGAGGTTTCTGGTGCTTAACTCTCTTTCATTTGATTTACAGGAAGACCTCTACTTCTCTCAGCTTATTTTATTTGGAACATTTAAAAAAAAAGATTTTTAAAAAGGCCTGACTGGATAGAAGATATTTTGCTACCAGAATACATATTTATTCTCAAGACCAAAAAAAAAAAAGCCTTTAGATTTTTTAACTTTTTTTTCCTCGATCCCTCTAAAATTTCTTTTCTCTTTTCTACTGCTCGTTCACAGCCGCCAGCCACCGGGTGCCCCTCTCCACAGCCCTGACACCCTGGGGCTGGGGACCGGGCCTGGGGGAGGAGGACCAGGACCCCCACCCCGCGCCCTGCCCCACACGGGCGACCCCAAGGGTCTTTAAACAGCCGCACTCAGACACACTAAGTACCTGGAGGGGGGACGGGAGGGGGCTGGTAGCCCCACCTCTACACTACCTAAGACCCCAGTGCTACTTGCAAGTGACAGGTCCAGCCCTGCATCGCCAGCAACCCCCAAGCACATCACCCCACAACACCAGGTGAGCGGATGTGCCCAGGGCAAAGGGCGAAGCCCGACCAAGCTCCCTCCAGGCGTGGGGGCCGGCCGCGTTTCAAGGCGTCTCGGGGGCAGCGGGATGTGGGCGCACTGCAGAGACCCAGGGACTGTCCAGGGTGGGAGGTGGCCAGGGCTCTGCCAGGGCACAGCCTGATATCCTCTGTTGGAGGTGTTAGTTTGGTCTGTGATGTTTCAAAGGAGACGGGCGCCCAGGAAAGAGGCCTGACTCACTTCCCGTGGGCCCATTTTATTGTGTGGGCGCTTGCTCTTCTGGCTTTTCTTTGATCTCTCCATGTCAAGTCACTTGACTTCTCCTTTAAAACTTTTCTTTCTATAAAACATCAATCTTTGGTTACCCTTGTATTGTACCTTTTGCCTGCTGTGAGAAATAGATCATCCATGAGGAGAGGGCTGCGGGAGCCCAGGACCCTCCCGACCAGAAGAGCTCGCTCTGGACTCCTGCGGTGGGTCGCAGGGGGGCTGGGGGAAAGGTTTGCATCCCCATAAGCCACAGGTGCCTCTGGTGGGCTAGTCTTTGCTCCCAAAGCTTGGAAATATATTAAAAAGCTTATTGACATCTCCCAGATTCTGTCTGATTGACCTTTCAATGTGTGATGTTACTATTTTGGGGGTATCTGATTTGGTATTTTGGTTTTGCTTGGCCCAGATCCATGGTAACGTCAAGTTGTCTTCCCCAAGCAGACTCCCTTCAGCATCCTAGAACCACAGGAGGCAGCAGGGCTGGGAAGGGGTCAACCCCCTCATGTCACAGAGTCCAGACTGATGCTCAAAGCATGGAAGCCACTTCTTGCCCAAGGTCTCACTGAGACCTGAGGGTCTTGGCAGAATTGGGGGTCAAATTTTCATCTCCTGACTTTTTAGCCCCTGAGATTTAACTTTTCCTGTGGCTGAGTGATGTCCCCTAAACTGAACACTGACCTGTTCAGACTGTGACTGTGCCCTCAGGACCTGGTTGCTGGGAGAATGGAGGGGTGCAAGCGAGAGGCTTGGAGGAGGTCGGGGGGTCTCAGCCAGCAAACCTCAAACAGAGACAGCCGAGTGCTCAGCAGCCACAGCCTGCAGTGGGGCTGCAACGGATGCTTGGGGCTCGAAGAGAGGCCTGGTCAGCATGCACAGGCTTCCCTCTCAGGGAAAGAGGCCGGGATGGAGCGGAGGAGGGGCTGGTGGGCAGATACCTGCCTGACAACAGGAGTAGCCAATCTGTGCTCCTCATGGAGAGGTGGAGCCGAGTCCCAAAGGGCTGGATGTCCGCACCTGCTGCTGTGCCAGCTGCCTGAGTTCATCCAACGTATCGCAGGCCTGGCTTATCCTGGAGCCCCATCCTGGGCCTTAGTGGAGGGTCAGAGCCAGGAAGAGACACTTCCTGTCCTCAAGGACCTTCCAGCTTGTTCCAGGCTCCAGACACACCCATTGACACCCCAGAGATCCTCAGGGTTCCAGACACTGTGGTGCGGGAGGGGTGTATGTCAGCGGGGGGGACTTGCCTCCTTGGGGTGGGGTGCCTGTCTGATCAGTGCTGGGTGCAGGGGTTGGACAGGGCTGAGGAGGAGGAGGAAGGAGCCTGCATCTGGCATAAGAAGCCCACACACGTGCTGGGAAGTGATGGAGCCAGGTGCGAGGGGTGAGAGCAGTGAATCTGGGCTGGGGTCCTGGCTGCTGGCAGTGCTTAGGGTGAGGTCACAGGTGGGAGCTGGGGCTGTGGTCCAGGCCTACAGGGATTGAGAAGGACCGAGTAGAACCATGCTGTGGAAGTGGATAGGAAAAGCGGTGACACCAGGGGGTGACAGGGGAAACACTGCATGGGGCTGGACTAGGGTTAGTCAGCTGGAGGTGGCGCAAGAAGGGAGTGGAGACATTGAGATTCACAAGATCACATACCCTTGCATGGCAGCAGCTTTTATTGAAACACAGATTGAGACAGCTCAGAAGGCGAGGCACCCACAGACAGTCATACCCACAGAGGGAGTCTTTGAAATGTACACAGGTGGACTGGACAGCAGGACCTGCCCAAAGGCCCCCAACCGGAGGGCTGGAGGCGAAAGCATCCCCACAACAATGGGCCTCTTGAGTGGGAGGTCACACGAGGAGTGTGGCTGGAACGGTCAACCCGAAAGGCGGTCAGTGAAAGAGACAAACAGAGCACAGGCAGGAAGAATGGGCAAGTGCTTGCCGTGGGCACCATCCTTCCCAGCTGGGAGGGCCTTGTGGGGAGGGTCTTGCTCTGTTTGATTCTCAGGTTGTGGGAGGTTAGTATCGTGCCTCGACCAAGGGGAAGCCAAGCTCCCGTGCTGTCCAGCCACTCGAGGTGACTGATAGTGTCCCAGAGAGCTTGGAGAATAATACAAATTGGCCACAAGTATTCTGGGGCCAGGTTGGAGTTAAGCGAAGGGCTGCGAATGACTTAAACTGAAGTCACCAGGAAAACTAGGACACAACTCCTCAAAATGAGAAGGTGGAGGATAGTGGCCTCCTACAGAGGGAGGATCTTTCCCTCTGTAGGAACATCTGGAAGATTCTGGAAGCAAGCACACCTTTTGCATTCACACACCATTCAGTGCTTGGCTGCCACAGGCGGGGCGGGCTCTGGACTCCACTAGGCGAAGCGGACGGACCGGCTGCTTCCGCAGCTGAAGCTGGAGGAGCGGGGCTGACAGGGCGAGCAGGAGTCAGGGGCTGTCACCGTGATGCAGCCCCCTGTGGCTGCGGGGCCAGAGGCGATCTGGCGCCCTGGGGTGGTGCTGTAGGTGAGGCCCCCACAGGAGACTCCACCACGGGAGCTGCTGACACCTGTGGGGAGAGGTGACAGAAAGGTGAGGGCTCGCTGTGATGGTACCTGTCCCATGACAGGCTCCAGAGGGTAGTGGCACTGCAGGAGCTGCCTCCTCTCCAAGGGTCCAGTGGTTGACAGCACAGACTCAGTCCCTCAGCTGCACATCCCATCTGGGAGACTAGGGCAGGAAGGAACTGAAGACCCCTGGGCGCAGAGGAGCAAAGCTGCCAGGCCCGGCATGGCCTCAGCCCATGGTTGTCACTAGTAAAGGGTGCTGAGCTCTGCTTCCTCTAACTCCCTTCATGGCCATTTCTTACAAGGGGGAACATTCGTGGCCCCGTGGTTCTGGCCAAAGGGTTCAGCTTTGCCTGTCGACAAAGCCATTTTTCTAGGGGATTTGGGACAGATACTTACAGACATTCACGGAGCCCACACCTTCACACAGCCTGGGGGAGAGAAAGCTCTGTTAGCTGCAGACACTCAGCTGGATTCCTTGAGACCCATAGTTGCGTGGGGACAGAGAGGCTCATGCTGTGGACAGTCTATGCCCTGGGAGGCAGGAAGGGCTCCCCTAATTTGAACTAACTGCTCACTTCTTTCTTCAATGGATCTCTAACCATGGGGACAAGCCCTTCTGATTCTCGGCAGCCCTGGGTGAGACTGTGACCTTCACATGCTGCCCCCAATCTGAGTACCGTAGCCCACCCCGGGTAGTGCCAACCAAGCTCTCAGAAAGGAGTCAAGTGAGACGCAGCAGCGTGCGGAAGGGCTTTGCAGAAGGAGAGAGCTGAACGCATGCGGAGGTGCAGCCTCACTGTCATCCACGCGCCTGCAGCGGAGCAGGAAGCTCCTCTACAAGAATGCCTTTGGGGGCAGGTGACTTGTGTGCAGAGCTCTGCTCTTCTGCTTATTAACTGGGTAGCCATTAAGAAGACACTGAACTCTGAGCCTATTTCTTTATCTTTGGGTGGGAAAAATGATACTGATCTCATTGGATTATGAGGATTATAAAATGAGCACTTAGCACAGGTCTAGCATATAATAAGCATTCAGTAAGCTTTTGCTATTTTTATTGAAGGTTGGCCTGTCAGAGTCAGAGCTCACACTGGCTCAAGGAAATCCACTCCCAGGACTAGGACTTCCACCCTGGATACCCTACAATGTCCTCTTTAGCCTCACCTGCTCTCCTCGCCCTCCAGCAGGCGCCTGTAGGTGGCAATCTCGATGTCCAGGCCCAGCTTGGAGTTCATCACCTCCTGGTACTCCTTGAGCAGGCAGGCCATGTCCTGCTTGGCCTTCTGCAGGGCAGCCTCCAGCTCAGCCAGCTTGCAGCGCGCGTCATTGAGGGCTGCCTCGCCCTGCTGCTCAGTCTCGGCCACGGCGGCCTCCAGCTTGGCACGCTGTTGGGTTAGGATAGAGGGCAAGGATGAGAGAGAGAGCAGGCACAGCCTGGCTCACCCAAACTGATGGCAGGGAGAGGAAGGTTCTGGAGAGAAGGCTGGGCCCAGGGCTAGGTGGTTAACAGGGCTGTGAAGGTGAGGGAAGAGGTTGTGGGCTTTCTCCATCTCCACTTGATGGTGGTCTGCAGGGCGCCCCAGGAAGGGCTAGATCCTCCTTGGCAGGTCAGTGATGTGGGTCATCCAGCCTGAGTGCTGTGAGATGTCGTTGAGCCCCTGCTTTCACTCTGGGTCCCTGTTGCCTCACACTGCGAGGCCTGACTGGGGCCATGCCAGTGTCCTCTTGTGGGGAAAGAGCCTGGTGCTGCAACCTGCCTGTGCTGGGTATTTGAGTCTTCCCTGGACCCTACCTGGCACTTGGCATTCTCAATTTCAGCCGTCAGCCTCTGGACCATGCGGTTCAGCTCGTTGATCTCCTCCTTGGTGCGGCGCAGGGTCTCCCCGTGCCTGATCACCGTGGCCTTCATCTCCTCGCACTGGGGAAGCAGAGACACTCGTGAGGATCGGGACGAGACATGTCATCCATTCAGGACACCAGAGATGATTGTGCAGGTTGTGCAGTGCTCAGCCTGTGCAGCCACACATGGCAGTCCTGCCCTGCCACTGCAGCCTCACAGAGGCAGCCCTTCTCTTACCATGCTTAGAGATCAGAACACCAGACCAGAGAAGCCTTTTTTTAATAGACACCTTGCTTCCTTCCCACTGCTGTGTCTAGGGGGCAGGTGTCATGCACCACTCACCTTGCTGCGGTACCAGGACTCGGCCTCGGCCCGGCTGCGGCTGGCGACATCATCATACTGAGCCTTGATCTCAGCGACAACGCAGTCCATGTTCAGGTCCCGACTGTTGTCCATTTTGACAATGACTGAGGTGTCTGAGATGTGGGCTTGAAGAACACGGATCTCCTATGGGGCCAACAGCCAGTTTGGTTCTGGTGCCTGAGCTGGGCCATGTGCTGCACCCCTCGGGGCAGCGTCCACTCCCTGGAGGGGGCACTGGTCAGGGATGTTACACGAGTCCCGATCCCACCACCTTTGTTCACACATGGGCTTATTATAGAACAACAAAGCGGGACAGGGCCCCAGAGGTCATCTGGGAACAGACTGTGACTTAATAAATGGGAAAACGGAGGCCCAGAGGGTGAGAAAGGCCTGACCCAGAGTCCTGGCCAGGGAGCTGGGCTTGGATGCCAGGACAAGTGATTAGTCCACTAATTAAGACCACTCCCTGACCCCACCCACATGCACACTTTGCAGCTCGTCTCTAGACTGACACACAGACAGCTCATAGCTTGCACACCCCAACACACTGAGGTCACAGTCACAGGGCAGCCCAAGCACACAGACACCCATCCTCCTCACACACGAACATGATGTGGCCTCCGTACCGTGGGCCCCTCGCATGTGTGTGCAGGTGCATTTCACACTTCCATCACACGCTGGCAAACACTTGCACATGCACGTACCCTTGCCCTGCTCCCCTGGTCTCCACACCTCCCCTCCACCTGCCCTGGCTGGCAGGTGCCCCTCACCTCTTCATAGAGGCGCCGCAGGAAGCTGGACTCCTCCACCAGGGCCTCCACATTGGCCTCCAGGTCTGATTTCCGCAAATAGGCGCAGTCCACGTCCTGGAGGTGGAACCAAGAGGGGAGGAGTGCATGGAGGAGGAAGACAAAGAAAGGCGCCTGTGGTCAGCCTGAGGACTGTGCCCCAAGCTGGAGATGGCGCAGATGGGTCCCCTCCTTCCTGTGACCAGCCCCCTCACCTTCTTTAGAACCACGAACTCGTTCTCTGCTGTGGCTCTCAGGGCCACCTCCTCTTCATACCTGAGCATGGGAGAGAGAAGGGCTGGAACTGAGATATCACACCTTGAATACCAGCCCAGCTCCCAGGCAAGTTCTTCCAGGGGTCGAAAAGGAATGAACCCCTCCAGACCTCGTTGTCTTGGCCTCTCTTTGATCTATTTTGTGTATTATTCATGGTCTAGCCCTTGTTCTAGCCTGGTTTCCTTTCACCCCACTCTTGCCTCTGGGATGAAATCAGGAATACACATTCCAACCCCCAAGTCTAAGATCATCTGCGCATCCTAGGTCCCAGGAGGGCCGGTCCCCTGGGCAGGGAGGACACAGAGCCCTGTCATAAAAGTAAGCTGTGCAAGGTAGGGAGCAGAGAGCTGTAGAACTCCACTGGCTTTCCCTTCCTTGCTCCCTGGCAGCCAGTCCTACGACTCACAGGGCTGGAGTCTTAGAGGAGGAGCCAGGAATCTGAAGGAACGTGGGTCCCACTGGACACCCCCTCTGGGTCTCAGGCAGCCTGTTGGAGGAATCTGAAAGATGCTGCTCCAAGAGGCTGTGGGCAGAGCCTCTAGCGCTCCCTGTGAGCTCCCCCTCACACCACACTCACCTCTTCTTGTAGCCCTCCAGCACCTCCTGCACGTGGTTGAGCTCCGAGGCCAGCCTCCCGCTGTCGGCCTCCACGCACTCGGCCTCCCGCCTCAGCGTCTCGATGTAGCCGCTGAACAGGGGCTCCAGGTTGCTCTCGCAGCACTCGCGGTTCTGGTAGAACTGCCACTTGGTCTCCAGCAGCTTGTTCTGCTGCTCCAGGAAGCGCACCTGCCATTCGGGTGGAGGAAAGAGACTCAGGGGGAAGCCTGGTGAGGGGAGGCTCCTGGTCCCCGGAGCTGCCTGCCCTTGGGAGCTGGCTGAATGGGCCGGAGCCATGGAGTGGAGTGTCTGGGGCTCGGGGGGCTCCATGCCCAGGCCCCCAGGGAGGCAGTTGTGAGTATAAAGAAAAGTTATCCACTGAAAGCCAAAGGTCCTAGTTTTGCCACTTTAAGTGGGTAAGTTGTTTAACCTCTTGGTGCTCAGTGTTCTAATTTCTAAATTGAAAATAATAGTGCCTATCTTAGAGTTGTTGTGAAGATTGAACAAGTTAATACATGTAAAGTGCTTAGAGCGGTCCCTGATACAGAGTAAGTACTTAGTCAATTTAACTATTATAATTACCAGTTGTCCTTCATTTATTCATTTATGCAACAAACACTCATTGAATATTCACTATATGGCGCCAGGGCCTGTGCTAAGAGACACGTTTGTCTATGTCTACATCATCCACCTATAAATTTTATTCAATTTTCACAGCCCCTTGGGGAGGTAGCTATTACTTACTCCATATTACAGATAGGGAAACTGAGACCCCAAGGTGTAAAATTACCAGCTCATGGTAGCTGATGGAGTCAGACTCAATACCCTTGAGTCTTATACCCCACCTTTGCCTGCCAACATAGAGTGTTTGAGCAGCTCATCCAAATGCTCTCAGCTCCAGTCTGTTATCTGAAAAATCTACCCCGTGGGGGTCATTCTGAGGATTAATTAAGACCACTAAAAAGAAACAGGAAGATCACCTCCTCTGCCCCCAGAACCCTGATCCCATGCCCTGGAACCTGTTCCTTCTGCTCTGCCAGAGCGAGGCCTGCAGACACAGGTGTGCGCGTGTGCGCCCCCCCCCACACATACAAACACACACATATGCGTGCATGCTTTGGACCACAGACTCCATTTCTAGACCACACCTGGACCTTATTAAATGTTGCTGGAATTAAATGATGAAAACGGATCCTTCTACCCACATTGGCCTGCATTTCTTTTCCTCTGCTGCCTCAAACCTGTCTCCCCAACAGGGGACCGTCCAGTGGAAGGGGGAGGGCTGAGGTCTTCTCGGGACCAGCACGGGCCTCACTGACCTTGTCGATGAAGGCAGCAAATTTGCTGTTGAGGCACTTGATCTGCTCCTTCTCCTCGTGCTTGACGCACTGCGCATTGGGGTCGATCTCCAGGTTGAGGGGCGTGAGGAGGCTCTCGTTGACCGACACAGTGGTGATGCAGGGGGCGCTGGGCCCGCACACGCCCCCGGAGCGGTATCCGAAGCTGCGCCCGCAGGAGCCGGCGCGGAAGCCCCCGGCAGCCACGCGGGGTCCGCAGGGGCCCAGGTTACAGAGGCTGCGGCTGCCGAAGCCCGTCAGCCCCCGGTAGCAGGAAACCCCTCGGTAGGGGGCGGCGCTGATGCAGCAGCGGTTGCCAGTTTTGGGGGCCACAGCTGAGCAGGAGCTGAAGTTCCTGGTGACCCCACATCCCGAGCTGATCCTGTAGGAGCGGCACGACATCGTGCGGGGGTGAGCGGAGTCTGAGAGGCTGGGCGGAGGTGCGGGCTGCGGACTGCGAGGCTTAGGATCTTTCTGGTCTCTCTGATCCTCCCTGGTCCTTTTATTGGTGGGGAGAGCTGGGGTTGGCTGCATAAAAGGAGTGAAAATTCATTTTATGTTGTTTAATTGGCTTGGGGAGTTTGCCAGCAACTCCCCAAGGACTCGTCTTAAAGGTGAACTCAGCAGCGACCGTGGGGCTCTGTAAAAGTATTGAAGATGTTATTAGGGACACTGTGCGTTTGCACTTTTCATCTTCAAAGCTCGTTTACATGCATTAAGTAATTACTTTTCTCACAGTCTCTCTGTGAGATGGCCTCAACCCACACTTGGAGACAGATTTGAACTCCACAACAGTCTCCGAGGTGGCTGGGTTTGGGATACAGGAAGGGGCCATTGTCTCAAGAGAGAAGTTCTAGGGTCGCAGGTGAGGTGAGACCTGAGGCGGTCATTAGCCCTGTCTGCCTGGCTCCGTCCAGGACACCTTTTCAAGTACATCATTGCATTTCAGGCGCTGACAGGTGAGGCAAATCCAAACCCACCCAGGTGGCATTGCCTAGAAGGTGGCTCAGGACCAGAGGGGCCATTTTGACCATGTTCGCTCCAGGACAGAGGGCTGGAGTGGTTGGTCTCTTGGCACCTTCTGGATTCCAGCCCAGAAGCTCTTTTCAAGAGCTTTCATCTTTCACCCAGCGAAAGTGCAAACCACACAACTCTCAGTGGCCACAATTATGGCCACTTGAGGATAATGGGGAGAATTCCCTTTAGCCACTTTCTTCTGTTTGCCCAAAAGGATTGGAGAACTCAAACTTGGGGAGAACTCAAACCCGGTGGCTATATACTTGCTCTGAGCACCTCCCCTTTGCTCTTTAAGAAGAAACAGGTCCTGTGAGTCTTCCTTCTGAGACCACCAGCCAGAGAAGGTATTCACTCCTTGGCTAGCCACAATTGCCATCCTTCAAGGAAGGTTTAGAAATTGCTCTCCACAAGGATGGGAGTAGGATATTCTTGTTTCATTTCTGGCTCCCAGGGGCTCTTGGAGACTCATCCCTCCAAAGTCTCTACTTCCCTTTGTGTCCTTGGGCCACTTATTAGGATAATGAGTGCTATTCTTTTAATGTTTATTGAGCACAAACCTTGGGGATGTGGTCTCTGCCTTCAGGGAGACACCCGAGGTGTTAGGAGCTTAAGGAAGAAGAGCTGATGGATGAGCTTCCTCCAGAGTGACTCCTCCAGGAAGCTTTCCATAACCAAAACACTGCTCACTGCACTGCCATCCCCTGGGCCTCTGGGAGATGCCTTGCGCTCTGCCCTCAGTGCCACGGCTGGCCAATCACAGGTCTACACTAGGATCGGGGTGAGGGATTCCTGCCTCCTCATCCCATGCCTGTGCTTCAGGGGAGGGTAGACAGACTTTGGCAGCTGGTGGGGGAAGAGCAGGCGGCCTCACATGCTGGCCCTAAAAGATATTCAAGTCTTAATCACCCATGGGGAAGCAGCTGGGTTTAGCAGCCTAGGCAATGGAATGAAAGTGGAAGACCTGGTTCTGGGGCCAGTTTGGACCCTTCCTAGCTGTGTGGCTCTGGGGAAGTTCTTTACCTCTCTGAGCCTACGTTTCCTCGACTACAAAGTGGGATTTATTCTTATCCTCCAGGGCTGTCGGGGGGTTGCATGGACAACACATGAGAGTGTGCTATTGGGACCATAACACTGCGTAAAGGCAAGGGCCTGTAGCTCTCTACCAGCGACAGCCGCTGCCCGGCCAGTGGAGAGTACCTGCTCCTGTCCTGCCTGTGTCACCTCCTCTGGACATTTACGACTTCTTCACCCTTTCAAGGCTACTTTTAGTGTTTTCTTCAGCCTGATTTCACGTGCCTAAAAGTTTTGGGTGGAGTCTGGGGACAGAGAGAAGAGGCTTTACTGGGGGAGCATGGCGGGTGGTTCCCTCTGGGGGGGGCTTGCTGCCCAGGGTCCAGGGATGTCTGCTGGGGCTTTGGCCTGTGGGGTCACTGGCCGACTGCTGTGCAGGCCTGGAGCTGGAGTGGTGTGGCCAAGAGGGATTTGGGGAGGAGGGTGAGGGTTGAGCATGGGAGGTGGAGGAACCTAAAGCCCATAAAATCTCCCCCTCTTCGCAACTCCTACAAGCCTCTGTTCTCCTCCAGCTTGTTGAAGATGCTGGAACCAGATCCACTTCTGTCTCTCCTTAGGGGCAGGAGGGGGTGGAGGTTTCATCCCAGAGGGAGGCTCCCGTGTCAGCTGCTTTCCCCTGCCCCAAACACATACACCTCCCAAACCTCCACCCTGAACTGGGCGCCGAGGGTGGGGAAGGGGAGCCAGGGGATTCAGGAGGCCTGCGTGCAGCTCCGCTATTTCCAGAACTCAGGCCCTTGTCCAGGCCCGCGGGACTGTCCAGTAGAGGGTGTCGGCACCTGCAAGGGTGTGCTGGAATTTAGGACATGGATGTGCTCGTGGGTGCTGAGTGAGGTTTGCAATGGCAGAGCTGAGCCCAGGGCTGGCAGGGCTGTTCAGGACACCTGTCCAGGTGGAGCTTTGGGTTGGAGGAGCTTAGGGCAAACCAGGGGGAAGGGTGGTGGTGATTCTTCATGGGGCTGGTGCCAGGCAGTCCAGGGCTAATGAGGAATTCATAGGCCAGGTCAATCTGCCATAGCTGTCCTGGAGAGACCCGGGCCTTTGCTTGTGGCTTCACCTATGGAAGAGACAGAGACCTTGTACCCCTTGCCTGTCTCTACCCTTCCCCCAACCACTCGCTCAGTGGAACCCAAGTCCCTGCCGTGAGAGTCAGGGCCCTTCAGGGGCTGGTCTTGTCCTCATCCACTGCCCACCTGGACCCACTTGGTTCCTTGAATAGTCACACCCCTCTCCCTTCCTCAACCTCTCCATGTCACACCTTGGCCTGGAATGTCCCAGAACTGCTCCCTCTTCCAGGAAGCCTTTGTGAACTAGTCAGAGGGAGGCTGTGATGTCTCCTCCTTGCTGTCTCGTAAAACGCCTGCTCTGGGGCTTCCCAGGCAACTCCTATTGCTCCCTTCCACACCCTCTTGTCCTAGGTGCTGTTACCACCTCCTTTGGTCCTGTCCCCTCCTGCCCTCACACCTGTCAAAGGCTCTGCCTAGTGCTGGGAATGTCTGCTCGAGAGCCCACGAACCCCCGTAGTTTCAGATGCTCCCAAGAGGCTGTTACTTCCCGGAAGCCTTCAAGAGCTAGCTGGGTGATAGGGACTCTTCACCCCACTCTGAAGCCTCGGGCCACCCCTATGGCTCCCCCTGGATCTGCTACACAGGGTACTGTCCTGGGGTTTTCTCAGCAGCCTCATCCCTCGCCTTCAGCCCCACCCGCAGACAGGGCCTGTTGCCTAGGCTGGGTGCTTGGGGGAAGCTCTCTCTTCCCCACACTGGAGGCTCATTACCTCTCTTCCCTTCTGCTCTTTCTACTGTGTGAGTGTCCCCCTGCTTCCAGGAAAAATTCCTGGGTTTCTGAAAAGATCAGAGAGCCCTGACACCTTCCCCACTCCTGCGTGTCTGTAGAGCTGCCTGTCTGCCCTCCCGGTTTTATATTGTCTGCCTGAGCTCTTATGGGCCAGTTCACTGTCCTTCCTGGCTGGGCGGCTCTCCCGAGTCAGCCCTGATGGGCTCCCCACCACCTCTGCTGGGCACACTTCTGTTACGCATCCAAATGTACTTGCTGGTGCTGGGACACAGCCCTTGAAGGGTCTTTATAGCCCCTTCTCTGGCTTCCACAAGCCTCAGGCACGATTTAGAGATCCTAGGTGAAAGAAGTGAGGGTCGGAGCAATAGGGTAGAGCTGGATGAACCAACGTACCTGTCCAGTGCATCCCGGCTGCGTCCCCTGTCCAGGGGCAAAGCGCTCCCTGGCTTGCCACACCTTCCCTCCCATGGGCTTCCCCACCAAGAACTCAAGGGACTCTTTCCTCTCCTCTGTGCATGTGCCTTCCTGTCGGCAGTGTCCCTGGTGGCTTCGCTGTTTCCTGTGGCTGCTCTGGGTCAGAACAGACGCTCAGTCAATATAGAGCTTCTGATTTCAGAATTGGACCATATTAATGGTTTTGAATTTTTTCTCATTTTCTAAATCTTAGGAGGAAAACAGCTAAATAAAGCCATGTATTTATTTTCTTATTTAGTGAGAGGACAGATAAGCTTGGGACACAGGGCCCCCTGCCTGGTCTGGCCCCTGCATTGCCATCCTCATCACAGGAGAGCGGTCCCCATGAAACACAAGCAGGGGTGTGTTACTCCTCTCTTCAAACACCCCAGTGACTCCCCATTTCACTCGGAGGCCTATGGATGGCTGGCGAGCCCTGCACTGCCTGTCCCTGTATAACCTCTCTGGCCTCCCGTTGCTTCCAGAATGCACCAGGTACACTCCTGACTCGGGGCCTTGGTACTGGCTGTCCCTCTGCCTGAGTGCTCTCCTCCCACCCACACAGCTTGCTCCATCGCTGCGGGTCTTTGCTCAAATATCTTCTCTCTGGCCCTGCTTTCTAAAACAGCAGCCTGCCCTCGTACACCAAGGGTACTCTCCATCTGGCTCATCCTGCTCTGAGCTATTTTTTCTTCTGTCTCGAGTAACCCCTAATACACTCTAGAATTTACTCATTTGTTCTATTTAGAGATTATTGTCTGTGTCTCCCCTCACCCCAAAATAAACTCCATGGGAGCATGGAGTCTGTCTGTTTTGTTCATTGATGGATCCCAAACACTTAGTATAGTGCTGAGAATATAGTAAGTGCTCAGTAAATAGTGGTTGACCTGTTAAATGTATGTATGAATGAATATCTTGGATATTTTAGATATTTAAGATTTGGCAGAAAATGCCACTTGTGAGATGCCTTGGCCCTTGAGCCCCGAGGAGCACACCTAGTTTGAAAAGCTCTTTTCTTTCTCCTTCAAGGCTATTTTCTGAGCACCCTGGGGAACAAAGACTGA